CTAAACTTCTGCCCAATATTTAACTCGTACAGTTTTTGAAACCACAAATGATTATCAAAATTAAAGTATCCGTATTTCATAAAGGTGGACAAGTTCTGATGCTCTTATCGCTGAACTAGAATTGGCCCGAATGTCTCCTTCGATCATGGAACTCATATCCAAAGAAGATATCAATAATGAGAATGCGCGCTTTGGAATAAATTTAGTGGATCAAGTATGTAAAATGATGCTGGAAAACATTATGAAATTAAAAAATGAAAACGCTGATGAGATCATTGCCACAAATGATTTACGAGAATGGCAACGACAAGTTACTAATATTTTATCTCTAAGTGCAAATATTGAAACGTCTTCAGAATCAAAAACTTTGCAATTTTTACGTATTTGTAATGATTTGATTTCAACGCAATTGATCAGTATTTCAGACATAGTCGGTGCCATTAACGTTAAACGTGAACCTGATCCGGACAACCAAGAACCTGATTTAGACAATCAAGAACCTAATCCAGATAACCAAGAACCTAATTCAGACACGGTTGATGACATTAATACTAATACTAACACTAATGAAACTCAACCAGAACTCGATTTGAATAATACTTTCCCAAGAATTGTTGATCGTATATTGGAGTTTTTTGAAAATATTCCGTCTACAGAGCGGGTCATAACTTCACAATGTTCGTTCTTTCGCAGATGTTTTGATATCATTCCATTCGATTCACCAGTACGTATCCACATTTATGAAATACTTTTTGGACGAGAACCACGTGTGCTCCTTGGTTCTGTTTTATCACGTGCTTTAATGTTAGAAGAAAACTTGCAACCAGGAATTTTTATTCAACTAATTCAAAACGCAAGAGCCACTTTAATTCGTTCTCCGACCTTAACTGCCATTAATACCGCTCTTGGAAAAAGTGGTGTTGATTCACCGATTATGGCTTTATGTTGTGATGTAATGCAAAATGACTTTTTTGCAAAATGGGATATTAAGAATTTGGTAAATAGCTATAGAGACGCTATCAACGTTTTATGCAGTCAAAATTTCGAACTTTTGCAATTGGTTATTGCTGTCGCTTTACTTAAAGAATTTGTAAATTATCTTTGGAGTTCACTAGAATCTGTCCAAAACACGGAAACGGAGCCTATGATGTTTAATGACGAAATAGAAAATATCGATGAAGTGATTGATAATATTAATCTAGCTATGGAACGTCAGTCACTTCTCATTCGTTCACTCAAACTATATTTTCTTCGTGATTTGTATGTCAAAGGACTTTCATTGCACGGTATTAAATGTTTTTGTGAAATACAACGCAGGACATTTCCATGGTTGACTGATTTTGATTGGAGCGAAAGCAACAGCAAGATTAACTTTGTAGCTTATCGCTGTTACAATCAATACATAGAAGCAGAAGAAGCGTTTACTCCACTGTATAAACGTGGGCAACACATGCAATTCGAACAATTTTTGAATAGAGTTTCAAATAACTTGACAATAGGCGCCAAAATGTCTATAATTGGAATTTTGATCACCCGCCTCTATGATATACGTGCAATACGAGAACCGAATATTAATGAAGAAAATGCAATACAATGGTTACGTAATCGATTGCCAACTATGCAATTTGACCAATTTTATATAGATAAATTGTTAGCTCTTCTTGAAGATGCAAATCAGCTTTATAGTATCTCTCCGGAAACGAGTCAGACAGAGCTATTGATTAGATCAGTTATAGTCCATACTATCGCACTTTATTCTTGCATTCCTGCAGCAAGTTCTCCGTTGGCCGCATATCTACAAACTTTGAGAGCTTGTAAAGATACATATATATTGGCATCTCGTGTAGAGACTGATTTTCTTCTTGAGCTTACAGATGCTCTTGGAAATTTTACACGGCATGTATTTTAAACTGGGACAGATTTCGTTTTTATATTAGCTAATTAATTTTTCTTTTTTTTTTTTTTAGTTATGAATGTCAGTGCGGCTACAAATATATCGTTGGTGAATGTGGTCGCACGATGCAGGAAAGTAATTGTCCACGATGTGGACATCGTATTGGCGGACTAAATCATACATCCAACCCAGGTAACACGCGTCTTGATGCTCAAGTAATTAATGGAACCAGAGAGACAATAACCCAATTAGGCTATGTTTATGAATCCATCGAAAGCAGAAAGTACATCAATTATCGTCTTCGCGATTTAACACCAGTTTTCTACCGAATACTGCATCTTTTTGTGCATATACTTATTGCTGCTGCTTCGGATGCAGATCGTCATGATTTTTTCAACAACCCACAACAACAGAATAACGAAATAATTCAAGAACCTTTAGTTTATTGTCAAAGTCATATAGAGAACGATTGGCAAATATTGACACGTTTGTTTGATTGCGACGATGAAACATTGGCGTTTGTATTGCATTCAATTTTACATTCTATTTCCGAAAATCCAAACGAAGAAATAATAAGACTAGACACAGTTGAAAAACGACGAGCTTGGGAAAATGAATTTGCTCAACGCTATATAAATCCAAAAGTTGTTAATGCTCGCCGCACCGCAACAGATTTTCAGAAAATGATTAAAGATTCTCAACGTACACTTGAAAGTGAAATTAATGAAACTTTGGATATTGATGAAAGATATCAACTTGATTTTCGTCCACGAATTTGGAGACGGATTGGCAAAACAAGCTTCGAAAATTTACATGCATTTTGTGTAGGGTATCCAAACTTTACTACTGAATTTCCATTTCTATCATTGTTCTTTGAATATCAAGAACAATTAATATTGGTGAAAAATCTAGTACCAATTGTAAAATTCTCAAGGATTCTTTCATCAATGCTATGCTACCGATTGAAAAGAAGTGATGCGCGCAATCTTACATTCGAACGATTTCTTAAAAACAATGAATCGCCAGAAGATCTTTATGAAGCCTTTGAAAATTTTACCGAAGCATGGAACTCCGTGAGGGAACATGTTGTGCAGTTTGAGTGTCACGAGTTTAAAAATCCAATGCCAGAAATGACCAGCAACCTTTCTGTGGTTTATGCATTGTTTGAAACAAAGGATGAATCATTATATTTATGTGGAGCTATCGAATTTTTAACAAATTTGCAAAATGAATTCTTGCAACAGGTATTAGCTATTGAACCTGGTTGTCCCTCGTTGAGATTTTTAGAAGGACAATTTATAAATAATGTTAGACGTCATGTGCCCCAGCATCAATATTACATAGAATCATTGGCTCTTTTTGAAGTACGCTCTAAAAATATTATAAATTATGAATGGGATTCTAAATTACTTTCCTATAGTCAATGTAGTCTTGAACTTGGCCATGGACAAGAGCTCCAATATGAACTACCTAAAATTGAGGCAGAATTAGCATATTCATTACTTTTTAATAAAGTTCATCTTAACAAAAATGATTCACATTGGTTAGACGTGTTTCCATACCATCAAGAATTATTTTCAACTTCTCGAACAATTTTGAGTGAAATCAGAGAGTTAATTCCTCAAGAACAAATTCCGCCTGAAAAACATGGATTTTCCTCCATGGCCACTTATAATACATCATCCAGACTTACTTTTAGTGGCCTAAATTCTGTCAATATGGTTCCTGGTTTTGATAATCCCACTGAACTCTTGTCAGAACTTGAAATTTTACTTTGTTTTTTGAGACGAATTTCGGGAGATCGCGAAATGAAAATCGTTGATTATCTAAATAAATGGTTGAGACTATCAGCACTGACCGAGAATCCCCAATTTCAACAAATGGTTAGTGGATTAAGATTAAAACATGTGGTAGCATTATATGAACTAGTTGAAGAAAAAATTGCAGATATAGAAATTGAACACTTATCAGATAAATATAAAGCAAAGATATCACAAAATTTAAAGGATGAAATTAACGCAGGTGTTGATTTTGAGCAATCATATGGCATTGGCAATAGTGGTAAAAGTAAACTTAAAATTCCACAAGGAGCTTTTGCATTAGTATTGAAGAGGTTCATGTTTCGCTATTTGTCATCAGAAATGTATAATCCTAATGAGGTACTTGTTAATTATTTAGCCGGGGATACCCTTATTGATTGTTGGCCAGTTTGGGTGCCCGATAATGTCATTCGCGATAAATTTCCAAAATCATTATTAGCTGCAAATATTTATGATGCATATCAATATACAATTCAGGTGAGTTAAATCTAAATATATATATATTTTTTAAATACGTTTACATAGTTTATAAAATTTTGTCTTTTTTCCTTTTAGAATGTAAAGAAGGCAGTTTCACATAAAATTAATAGTGGTCGACAGAAAGAAACTTCGTCAAGGACAAATCCTAGTTCAAGCGTACGTAGTGGAAATCATGGAAGTCATGGAAGTCATGGAAGCCACGTAGGACGTAAAAATCGCGGCCGTGGTGGAAGTAGCTTAGACATAATGTAAATTAGGAATTTTACGTCCAAAAATTTTGGACAACTGACAATCAAGTTGTGGTGATCGTATATAAAGCATAATACATATTGTATGCATGATTCTTTATACATATAATATTATGTTACGTACGAAAGAATAGAAAAATTATTATTCATACTAGGATGTAATTTAGGTGATCAATCAATCAGATTACAAAACAAAAATCACGATTTTTGTTTTTTTTTTTATTTAAATAAAATTTTTTTTTAAGAAAAATAAAATAAACCAAAAAAAATAAATATGGCTCTTATTAAATGTCGGGGATGATGCTGAAATCGGATAATGATATGAAATCTTAGTTATTTTTCAAACGAAATTTTTATTAGACATAATACAAATACCAACACTGATGTTTTCACTTGATAACCATAAAAACATATAGCCTGTAATGCAATTTAATCCAAAATTGCTATATAAAATATACCTGTTCTAAACTTCTGCCCAATATTTAACTCGTACAGTTTTTGAAACCACAAATGATTATCAAAATTAAAGTATCCGTATTTTTCAGCTTCATAATACATTGCTTTAAGTTCATAAATATTTGGTGATATATATGTCAGCGCATGTGTAGTTAACAAACTTGAAAATAATAAATGATTTCTTAAAATTTTAAATGATTTTGGAACTGAAGTTGGTTCAAAAAAAGCTGTGTATTAATTATTAAATAAATAAAGCAAGCTAGGTTAGCTTAGAACAATAAAATTAATAAAGAGCTAATAGTATATATGTTTGCCATTACTTGATATCTTATTTATATCACAGATATTCAATATTGTTCTCATATATTTTACAGAAATATTTCCATCGAAACAAACCAATTTTGGTTTGTTTGATTCTATAAACTTAGTGACCTATTAAAAATGAACTGAAATTAAATTTCTTGACAAATATATTAAAATGAATACATATAAGAGATTATACATTTTCTGAAGATATACTATCGAATATATTCATGTCAGCAACAGCACAAATAAGCTGACCATAAGGATCATTTATT